TTTTGTTTTGTTTTTTTTTCCCTGTGGATAGCACTAGCAGGTGAGCTTCCTTCACTTGCTGACTGGAGTTGCCACCTCCAAGGCACAACTGGAGCAAACCACAGCTGTGCAGTAACATCTTCAACAGGCATGACTGTTTGCAGAGTAAACATTTGCCTACAACCTTACTGTAGATAGAGAATGTTAACAAAAAGGACAGATTCTAGCAGCTTATCTGCAGCACCTTCCTCACTAGCACATGGCTGTGGAAGGGTGCTCCATCCAGAGCAACCTCTGCACACAAAGGAGCCTGCACCACCAGCACAATCATTCACTGCTTCTCATTGCTTCAGACAGCTCAATTGAAAGAGCTTAAATTGCTACTCTGAAGAATACCTGCACTATATTGCTTTAAATACATACTGCAGTGCTTCCTCACTGATGCTGTAATAACCACAGTAAGACAGTTACAAACATCTGGATTCATGGGTCCATAACTAAACCAGAGAAAGCATCTGTCTAGGTTTTGCAGGGCATTTTTCGTTGTGTCATACACCAGATCGTGGGTTTAGTTGTCAAAACTGTACAGCACAGAATTGGCCCAATGTGTAGCTGTAATGAAAGGGACAAACACAGTCCTCTGGAAGCATGAGAATCTTACACTAAAAGAAAAGCCCTACGTGTTATCTTCCCATTGTGCTTAGTGCATGTACTTTGCAGTGTTATTTTAAAATCAGGAGTTTTAAAATGAGCCACTCATAAATTATCAATGTGCCTGCCAGCTTAGAAGAAGGCACAAACAGCAAAACCATCACTACTACCTTCTGTAGCACAGCTCAAAAAAATCACATTAGTATCTATTAGCGTACAAGATCTGCTAATAGAGATAGTGATCTCTATTAAGAAAAATCTTCTCAGTGGCCTGATCAGGTTTAGGTTCAGATCCTCACTAGCAAGAGGACAAGACAGAGCAAGGGAGCCTTTGGGGTGATCCAAAAATCTCTCTCGATAAGAAATCCTATTTCCCAGCAGCATGAAGGAGAAAAGCTGCCTCTGACTGGGGCTATAAGACATGTGGCTTTGTCTGTCCTTTATAGGCACTTGTTTTCAGATGTCTGATCTCTAATTTAACAAAGAAAAGTGATTAAGTCCAACTGACAGACTAGACCATAAAATGTTCCAATTCTCACACTTGCATGGGAAAGACACACTATCTTATCTCACTCCTTTCTAAACCACATGAATTAACCTCTCAGTGGATACACTCATTTCAGTATTTGCTTTCATATCCTCCAAAGTTTTCAGCAAACTGAATTTGTTGTAAAACTGAATGTAAACTACAAAGTACACTGGCATGGGTGTTACTAAGTTTTTTAGTATTGGATTGAACTTCAAAACTTTCTCATCAAGCTCAGCAATGATTAAATTTGGAGTAGAAAGGAGAAGGATCAAGGAAAGGCAATGAGATGCATCTTGTTGCTATTGTGGATTATCAGAGCAGCCAGAAGCAACTAATAGTAACTGCTCTAAATCATGGTACACAAGGGCTCCCTTGTCAGCCCTAAAAGCCAGGAAGCACCTTGAGGGTGGGAGCCCTGCTGTGCCCTGCAGCCTCCAAGATGCCCAGGTCAGCACAGCAGTCTCAGATCTAACCTCTGCTCTGAACAGTTTCTCACCATGAGCTGAGAACAGCCATTCCAGATATGTCAAACCTACTTAAGAGCATTTCTGCAGCACAGATTTAACATGCATTATGTGCAAAACCTTTTGCAGCATTTTTCTGAGAATGTACAACAGTGGGTTTTGGCATACTTCGGTACCTTGAAGCCTGTAAAAGCACTTGGCCATGGTTTGAAATTGAGCTGCCTAGGAGCAATAGGGCCAAGACCTTTTTAGCTGTGCTTTATGCTATTAAAAGCACAAAAGAAATTAAATACAGCACACTGCATCAAGTAGTAGAGCTTTGAGTTAAGCCAGCAAAAGCAAGAAAAAACAGGATCGGACACCTGTGTCCTCAGCCTGCTTATGTGCCCTGGTGTTACATCTGGACAGTAACTGACTCATTTCAAGCCCTTCTATGAGATGGGAGAAAACATGGGGTGAAAGCAGTACTTAATTTCTTTCCTGTCATCTTTAGCGGTTTAAGATCAAATCTAATTTCATTGTTTTTGATGCTCTGCCTTTCTTGGAAATCATACCGTAACACAAAAGAATGTAGGATATTAATGTACATTAAAGTACACAGCTAACAGCATTAAGGTTTTTTTGGGGTGGTATCCTCAAGGATGCAGTCTGTGCTGTATTTGTGAGTGGTTAAACAATGTGAGTTTTCTAATGTTTCATTGCCCAATTAACCAAACAGAATCATAAAGTATACCATAGAGATAAGCAAGCAAAGAACCCTGCTTTTTTGGGCACTTCTAATGTGCCTGCCATTCTGCTGCCCCAGTGCCTAAAATAGAACTTAATGTGTAGCCCAGGCCTCCTCAGCACACCCAAGAATGGGGCTCTCCTGGGGCTCAGGCATTTTTATAAAACAGCAGTTAGAAGTAATAGCTGTGAGTGTGGGAAATTTCACTGCTGAGGAAACCTACACATCTTTTGAGCAACAATCACAGCACAGCCAGTTAGTGTCATTTTTAAGCTACTAAATCAACCTCAGGCCCTTCTGGTGTTAGGGAGCAACTCACTGGCAGGTGAGAAGCAGCAGCACTTATCACAGCACAGGAGAGTGTATCCCATTAAATTAGCACATACTGCTTGCATGTGCACCATTGTAATTTTAAAAATGCTAGGTTTTCTTAGTTACTTACATAAGTGGGCAACCAGAAGGACTGTTATCTGAGACCATCAGCTGCATGGCTGTGAACCCTGCAACTGATAAGGGACAACTCCAGGACTGGGGGAGATACAACCTGGCACGAAGAAATCTCTTTGGGAGATCTTAAGACACAAGCGGCTTGTCATTTTTAAAGTACACACGAATAGGTCCAAGTTCTGCAGGCTTTTAAATGCATTGTTGTTTTACATTTTATTTACTTTTACGTATACAATAAATGTATTCAGTAACATGAGCAACATTCTGCTGCTTGTAAATCAGTGAAGTGCAGATGCCTGTTGTATCAGTTTGTTGCCTAATCTGTGCTACTGTACCTTATACGAAAGCATGTTACAAACAAGCCCAAGCCGCCTTCTTCAGCTGCATTTACCTCTCTATGCCAGAAAGGCTCCTTCTGAAAAGGAACTTGCAGTGTTGTGGTAACCTTTTTGGGCAATCAAACTGCTCATTCTGAACACCCAGAACTTCTGTTAAAGATGTCAATGCCTCTTTCTATTTTTTTTTTTTTTATACTTGCAGGAGGTAAAAATACAATCATCATACTGTTGCTTTTGATTAAAGGATGAATTCCTCTACAAAAATGCCTATAGGAAACGAAGCACTGACGCTGTCATAAATAATCATTCTCCCTTGCACTCCATGGGAGAGAAGCTTGAATAATTTTAGAGACTTTAGGGGGTGGAGGTTCATAATTTTCAATGGTGTATCTGGGTACAGCTCACAAGGACTCACTGCAGTGTTCTTGTGCTAATACCAGAGGAGCATGCTTTCCCAAGGAGCTGAAGATCAGATGCTACTGGAGAGCATGAGGGGGGTGGTGGATTCTCTTTGTGAAAGCCATGCTGCAGCTTGCTGTACCTGAAACTGCTCCAGTGATGTTTTCACTGTTTATCTATAAGGCAAGGCATTAGTGTTTTATTTCCTTCAGAAACTCTCTCTCCTACCGTGCCCCATTTGGGGGGTTTAAGCCTAGAATACACGACACACACAGAACTAGATTCCAGTAACAGGATAGCTATTAAACAGTTTATGAACTAAAACCAAAGCAGACCATTTTCTCTCTGTCTACAGATCTTGCACCTGTGAAGAAGGAGAGCCATCAACCTCACAGGCAGACATATCAGACAGCCAGAGGCAATCCACAGCATTGCTCTCAAGGTGAGACACCTTTACCACAGATTCAGTAAACACAGCTCGGTAAGTCCCTGCCTCTCCAGGCCTATTAAGATAATGAGAACAACTCACATCTTGGCAAATTCACAAGACCTGCGCCAATCTTTCAAACTATTCCAAATGCCCAACAATTCTCACCCAGAACCAGAAAGCACTTCCAGCTTTTTTTTTTTTTAATGTGTCCACGGCTTACTGTCACACATAAGCTGTTAATCTGAAGAAATCTTACAGTCAGAAAGCATGCTGAGATGCATCAAATGAAACAACACTATTTATATGCTGTTTTAGTGCAAGTCTGATTGCTGGATGCTCACAGCTAATGAGAATTTTATGCATCTTTTAAACGAAAGTAAAACATGTTAAAGATTTAAAGAAATTAGCCAGCTATGTTACTATTTAACTTTCCTACAGATCAGTGTTCCAGTTACCTTTCCTTTATTTAAGATTGTATCACTCAGTGTTCCAAGCTTATAAATTCATTTCTTAAAAACCAACAGAAGTGTTTCTCAGGCTGGGAACCTCTTTGAAAACATTCTTTACCAAGGGACTGCAGCTCTGACTGACAGGCACATAAACGTGAAGGCAACACTTCTTATCTAACTGTTAAGCAACACTCTAAGAGAAAGCATATAAAAATCACATTCGGTTCTTTACTTTTGCTTCAGAACCAAGCAGTGACTCTAAACTGTCACTCAAAAGACAGTTCAACCTACATGCAAACATCACGTTGCAAGCGTCAGTGTATTTTGAAGTTCACATAATCAACATTTCACAAAGGCAGTGACCAACTACATAAAACAAACTGCATACATTTCTCTATGTACATCAACCACTAATGACTACCCCTACAGCATGCAGACAAAATATCAAGCGTTCCCTTTGCTTGTTCAACCCGCTGCACACGATTGTTGTCTAATAGTCACCAGCTGTAAACACGAACTTTCCCATTTATTAGCCTGAGCACGTTAATCTCCTACCACTGTCCACGATTTAAGAAGCTGTTACATACCTGCAGTTAGGAGGAGGATCAAGAGTTATTTCAGCTAGCTCCTTCTGGATTCTGTTGGTGAAACGAGAACAGACACAATGCATTTGAGATAGTCTATAGAATAAATCAGGGAATTACACTGCCCTCTACCACCATGCAGTTAAATGCAAGATTGGCTTTGCCTTCAGTAATGCTAACATGGCTGCTTCCTCTTTGTTCTCAGAGGTATAACCCAAATCCCACAGCTGAGAAACTTTGCAGCCTTTTTTCCTGCTCGATCCTGTGTATAAACAGAACAGTCACAGCCGAGTTCGGTAGGAATCTCCCACAAGTACCCAGAACAGCAACTCTTTTTCATATCCGAGCACATCTTGCCGGAGAGATTTTCTTTTCAAGCTAATATGCAAATGAGCCGGGGGGAGGGGGGCCGTACAAGCACATTTGACAATGACTTTAAACCAGCGCTACAGAGCTGTGATCGAGGCTGAAGAAGCGAGCCGTGCTGTCAGCAAATGTATTCTTTTGGCAATATTCTACCTCCTGCTTTGCAGGGTGTTTAAAAAGTAGGTTTGCAGATCTGCCTGGCTGCCTCTGACACTGGAATCATCTCTGCATCAACTTTGCTCCTCTCAACACCTTCTGCTGCCTTTCCTCCCCCAGCTTTAGAGAGCTGTATTTACATGATAAAAAGCAACATAATAACCTGAAATAATCTTTAGCTTAGATTGACATTGTAACATCTTTGGAGTGGTTGTTACAGTCCAGAAAAGCAACACTGAAAACTTCGTGTTAATCTTACTATTTATCCATGTCCATAGGAGGTGTAACTTTAAAAGATTCAAGGCAATTTCCTCTATAAAGTGTCAAAACAAAAAAACCTCCACAAGAAAACCCACGCGAGCAAGACTGCTTTTCCATGTGTACAGCAAGTGTTAAAGTATGAACTAACAGCGACTGCCCTGAAAGCCCTTGCACCATTTCCATTAAGTCCAACCACACTACTGAACCACTGGAGATGTACGGAACTGGACTCGCAATGATTAACCAAAATAAAGCTAAGTGGAGAAAACTCAGTTGTGAGCCTCTACGTGATGCACCTCAGGCATTTTAAAAAAAAAAAAAAAAAAAAAAAAAAGCCCAAAATCTAGCAATAAATTACAAAGTCCACAGTGTTCCCAGAACTTTTCCTTCTGCAGCCAACTCCTCTTCCAATGGGTTTCTTTAACAAACTCAAAAGTCATCAGTCACCCTGTCACATTCTGCAGTAATTCTAAGACATTGCAAAATGTATTTACTGAGTTTAAGTACAGTGCAAAATTACTAAAAACATTCCTCAAAGTTTGAGCTACTGTATTTGGGCTGGATAAGCAAACCTGAAAGCTACTGTGGCTATTGCACAGCTCCTCTTGCTATAGCGTATTTGTAAATGTTTGTAAAGAAAGGAAACTCCAGGGAAAAGCCAGAAAGTTGTGTTTCATCGCAGAAGGCAACTGGGATTGAGGGAATTAAAGTTTGCTTTATTTCACACAGCTGAACTTACAGAAAATAATTAGTACATGTCTCGAGAGCTGGACTGCCAGTAACCTTGTGTGTAAATAAAAATGCAGCAGATAAAGCCTGACAAGGTTTCTTGAGATTTTGATACTTAGAGGCTACAACTGAAGAACCTTATGGTTGGAATCCACAGATCCTGTGAGAGAAGATTTGCCTGACTTCCTCCAGAAAGCACTGCAGGACAGAACTGTGACTTTAAGGTGCACGAGGCTCTACTGCAATCATAAGGCCTGCAAAAGCCATGGGGCTTGTGTGACTTCTGTAATTAAAGAGCACTGCTTGACATCACCCTACAGCCTGCATTGAAATACACCAGGAAGATCCACACTACACGAACAAGGGACATAAACCTGTCTCAGCAAACCAGACACCTGAAGCTGACGCTTTCTCGCTCATTTCTACAAACATGAGAGGCACGCAGGTGCCCCCTGACCGGCCTGTGAGTTACCAAGTTCTCCAGCAACTCGAAAGAAACATGGCCAGCCTGTGTATTACTGCCCCAGAGGACTTGAACTCATGAAGGTCCTTCCCAGCAGACTTGCATGCTACAGAAGTTTGTACTGTACTATTTCTTATGTGGCTTTAAAGCAACCTCTCTGCCTTTGGAAGTGCAGTGCAGCACTGCGAGTCCATACACCGTGCAAAACCGCTACAGGACGCTGGATGCCACAAGTACCTTTTAGCACTAGTAGATAGCTTAGCAGTAGTTTTGCTGGAGAGTTTGGTGTTCTTCTTCTGTTGGGTGGCAGAGGGTTTCCTTTCCTCCTGCTCCTCAGGTTCAGGTGCTGGGGGATCCCTCTGGTCAGCATCTGAGCTGCCGCTGCTGGTACTGGGGCTCTCATCGTCTGACCTCTGCCTGTCACTGGACATCGTGGGGAACTTGTAGGGAAGGAGGAGAAGAGGCAGTTACTACAGCACACAGGTCACCCCCTCACCGTCCGGAGCTCTGAAGAATACTTTGGTTGATGACAACTCTATTTCACGGACAAACCCACCAGGATCCTCTTCTTTGTCTCATTCGCCAGGGCTGCAACTTGACAGCTACACCACAACATTCACACTTTGGAAAACACCGGCATTTCCCACTTTTAAACCCACTTGCATTTTTGTCATGCTTCAAACAATATGCCAATTGTCGGCTTGGTTCTGAGGCACAGACAGATTGAGCAGGGCACTTAAGAAACGCGCATTAATAACTTATGACACATTGTAAATAACAGACCTCCCCGGGAATGTTTTTTAAGGAGTCACCGATACCCTGTAAATATTTACACTGGAACGGAGCATTTTATTGGGTCCAAACGCCAGATCCCCCCTCAATCCTTCTCTCGGAGGAGCTCCATTGCCAATGAGACTCGGGCAGCTCTCAGACCGAAGCGTACACTTGCTCTGTGCATTTAAAGGGCTGGGCAGTGGGGGGGAGGGGGGGGAAGAGGGAGAACGCGGGTTGTTTTTTTTTAAAGGAAAACCCCCGCGGAACCCGCAGAAGATGCGTCGGGAGCAACTCGGGAAGCGGCAGCCCCACTGCCCGCCGGCAGAGCCGCATTGGGCCCCCGCAGGGCCGCCGGGGGGGAGGCAGCCCGCCGCCGCCCGCACCTTCCGCGTTGCCCTCTCGGCCTCCCCCCCCGCTCCGACATGGTGGCGGCGGGGGGAGGGGGCTGCCCGGCGGTCGGGAGCCGCTGCGGGGCCGGGGGCGGCCGCGCTTTGTGGGGAGAGCCCGGCGCGGCGCGGCAGGCGGCGGCTCGGCCGGCCCCGCTCGGCTCGGCTCGGCCCCGCTCGGCGCCGCGCGTGTGTGCACCAAGTGAGGCGTGAACTCGGCCGGCCCCGCGCCCCCGGCCGCCGGCAGGCAGCGAGCGCCGAAAACAAGAACAAAGCTCCTCGGCGGCCCCCCCGCTCCTCCCCGCCTCCCCCCACCGCGCTCGCCCAGCCGCCGCCGCCGCCGCAGCCGCCTCGCCCGCCTCTCGCTTACCTTCGCCGGCGTCCTGTCCCGCTGCTGGGTCGGAGGGGCGGGATGGCGGGGGGCCGGGCCGGGCCCGCGGCGCCCGAGGAGGGGACGGAGGCGGCCGGGGGGCTCTACGGCGGCGGCGGCGGCTCTGTGGCCGGGCGGTGTGGAACATTGAGAGCCGGAGCAGGGGGGG